TCCCCCAAATTTTAATAAAAGTGAATTCCATTTTATTTGAAAAATGCTAATAGATAAAACATGCCAGGATTTTTTCCCTTAGTCTAATAAATGAAGGATACACTAAATTCAATTCTTTAAAAAGTTATCCCAAAGGACTAGTAAGCTTGATTTATATTTTCTTTACCAGTCACTTTTATTTCATAAGCCTGACATTTCCATTAAAATGCCATTAAGTGAAAACAGGATTTTACAGTATTTGTGATGGCTTAGATCTCAATGTGATAATTGGAATTATCTCCAGCAAAGATAACCATTTCTCATTATTTTATTTCCCCTTATATCTCAGCTATATCTTTAGTGACCTCTTCCAGCTGAGTAAAACCACTTCCCCCTGAATTTGTCGTTAAGTCCGTGAAAATGATCTCTGTGGCTTCGAAGGCCCTTTTCATCTTGAGGTTATTAATTGGGATTCAGAAAGGACGGGAAATGGTAGTCATCCTGTCCATGCAGCTGCCCTTTAAAGAAATGGGAAAGACTGTCGCAGGGGAGAAAAAACAGACTCATTCTCCGCATGGCTCTGGGGGCAGGAGGTGAGCAGAGAAGGAAGGACACCTCTGGCTGACATTAGGAAAACCTGTCCCGTCTGAGGGGTCCTGGAGGTGGTGAGATCGCCATCGCCAGGGAAACCCCAGCTAAGGCCACCACCTTGGACAATGTGTTGATTAAATGAGCCACTGACACTGATGTCCTTATCCGTCTGCATTTAAATTTCTTCTCTAAAATGACATCACCGTGAAAATGTTCTGGAACTACACAGGGTCCACGATCATGCAATAATGCCAAAGTACCAAACATCACCGAATTGCATACTTTAATACGGTGAATTTTACCTTCATTAGTATATTAGACTACAATAAAATAATGAATGACATCATTAGAGGGACTGATCTCCACAGCCACCTCTAGCTATCACAGTTCCTGCTTCTGAGAGGAAGCACATCGCTCAGGGGACTGATGCCTAGACTATTTAGTCAAATGACAGGCCCTGTGACACTAAATATCTAACTGAAGAGGAAGAGTTAATTACATTATGCTTCAGGCCTAATACAGAACATTACACGTCATGAGAAATTACACTCATGAAAACATATTTAATGCCGTGGGAAGATGCTTGTGATGTAAAGTATAAAAAGATGGATTTAAAATACATGCACTGTGTAAAGTGATATAAAGGACACGAGAAACTAACAAGGCTGGGGTGGGATAAAAACTTACCTTGTGGGTGCAATGAACCCTACTCTGGTAATGGGCATCCCAAAAGCCCTGACTTAGGTATTTTACAATATATTCATGTAAGGCCCAGGCACTGTGGCTAATGCCTGTAATCTTAGCACTCTGGGAAGCCAAGGAGGGTGGATTGTCCTGAGCTCCCTGGTTCGAGACCAGCCTGCGCTAGAGTGAGACTCCGTCTCTAAAAATAACCAAGCATTGTGGTGGGCCCCTGTATTCTCAGCTACTCTGGAGGTTGAGGCAAGAGAATTGCTTGAGCCCAAGAGTCTGAGGTTGCTGTGAGCTATGATGCCATGGCACTCTACCAAGGATGACAACGTGAGACTCTTATCTCAAAAAAAAAATTCTTATAATAAAAACACTTGTAGTTGCTTTAAAAAAAAAATAAAGAAAGAAGGCCAGGTGCAGTGGCTCATGCCTATAATCCTAGCACTCTGAGAGGCTGAGGCAGGTGGATAGCTTGAGCTCATGAGTTTGAGACCAGCCTGAGCAAAAATGAGACCCCATCTCTACTAAAATAGAAAAATTAGCCGGGCAGGGTGGCAGCTGCCTGTAGTCCCAGCTACTTGGGAGTCTGAGGCAAGAGGATCGTTTGAGCCTGAGAGACTGAGATTGCTGTGAGCTATGATGATGCCATGGCACTCTACCCAGGGTGACAGAGTAAGATGAAGGAAGGAAGGAGGGAAGAAAGAAAAGGAAAGGAAAGGAAGCATGGGATCCTAACTTTATAAATCTAGATACGAAATCAAAATGTTAATAGTGTTTATCTCCAAGTTGTGTGATTACCAATGATTTTAATTCCTTTATACATGTCTCAAAATGCCTACAAGAACATGAATTACTAGTATAATCTAAACATCTCTTTAAAATAAGAAATACATAATAGTACTTAGGATGTTATAGCCCCCATTGTGAACCATCATGTGCTCTGGAAAAATGGGGTAGTGTAATAAAAAGAGCCCGGGATTAGAAGAACTGATACAGAATTCCAGTCCAGCCCTGGGGGCGGGGGGGGGGGGTGCAACACCTTTCTAAGCCTACGTTCTTCCTCTGGGGCGGGGGCGGGGTGATAACAGCCTAGTTTGCAGAGTGGTGTGAAGAGCAAATGAGATCATAAATGTGGGACAATTCTGTTGATTGAAGAGTTCTCGGAGCTATTTTCATTGTTATTGAGTGTATTCAAACTGTACATTCTGAAATCTTCCCCCGAACAAAAACTTACCGAGTGCTTATAAAGGCGGTGATTGCCACTTACCCAGTAATTTAAGAGCTAATTTCTGGTAAGAGTGTCATTTTTTCCCTCATGTTTCTTCCTATAACCTTAATGGGAAAACATTTCATTTCATCTGAAAAGTAACCACCTGACTTTTATTTACTGTCTTAAGTTCAAGGTGATGATGACAAAATCACTTTAGCTAAAGGAAAATTGCAGCCCTGTGGGAACCTGTGCCTCTCCCGAGGAATGAAGACCCTCCTCTTTGTAGGAGGGAGCATTTCTTTCCCCCTGAACCCGCCACATGGTTGAACTTGAAAAGAGACTTTCCTCCCTGCTTCTCCAGTTCTGCCCTCTGCCTGTCCTTGCTTTGAGACCAGCATCAGGACCCACTTAGAAGGAACTGTGACTTTTTATTCTCCCCAGGGTGTTCGCTTGCTGAGAGAGGGGAGGACCAGGTGGGCAGGGCGTAAGCATGTTGTCTCCCTCTTGAACTTCTTTCATATTTGGAAGGCTTACAGGGCACAAAGCATCATAACCTTCACATCTTGAGGCTTATGTTGCTATTCAAAGCAAACTCTTTCAATTCTATGGATTCAATGAAACATTCCCCAGCACCTCATATGTGCCAGGTCCTACAAACATAAGAGTTGAATAAGATGTGGCCGATGCCTCCAATGAACTCACAAGAAATGGGCACATAGACCAGTGCAGTGTGAGCATGACAAGGGGACGAGGAAGCAAGTCCCAGGAACAGAAGTGGGGCTGGAAAGAGAGTTGTCAGGCTTGGCACCCGTAGCACAGTGGTTATGGTGCCGGCCACATACATCGAAGGCCAGTTTAACAACGATGACAACTGCAACAAAAAATAACTGGGCATTGTGGAGGGCACCTGTAGTCCTAACTACTTGGGAGGCTGAGGCAAGAGAATCACTTAAGCCCAAGAGTTTGAGGTTGCTGTGAGCTGGGACACATGGCACTCTACTGAGGGCCACATAGTGAGACTCTGTCTCAAAAAAAAAGAGAGAGTTGTCAGAGTAGTCAGGGAGACATCGCTGCTGGCTTTGGAAGTCCAGCAAATGTGTACTGGGCAGCTGGGGCCCAGGGACAGCATGTACGAGACACCAAGATGACCCCTCCTGGGCACTGATGGTGTGTCTGCTTGGGAGTGTGGGCTCTGGGCTCAAGGCCATTTATTCAAGACAAAAGAATGGGCTGGGTACCAATGAGCACCATGTCTCAGTACCGTGAGACATCCTTGTAATCTTCCTGTATCAGTTAGTCGGTTGGACGGTAGGTATTAACCTGCTAAGGGCTCTGCCTTAGGAATGGACACAAGTGTGTGTGTGTGTGGGGGGGGGGGTTACATCTGAGAGGGAGCTGAGCTACAAGTACAGAGAGAGGGCCTTGAGTGGAAAGGGAGCTGAGTGTCCAGGGAGCACTGAGTCTCTGGGTCCAGGGCAGGCCAGTGGACAGCAAGGCCAGAGAGACTAGTGTCCCTGGCCGGGGCAGTGACTGGAAATGAGGAAGCCTGAGAGGACATCAGGAAGGACTTGAGTGCCAGAATGGGCAGCACAGATTTGAGAGCTGGCTTAAAAGAGATGACTCAGATACTGGTATAGAGGACAGATTTACAGATGGGCAAAGCCGGAGGCCAGAGGACCTGGTGCCACAGTACAGTCAAGAGTTGACAGAGCCCAGGCAGAGACAAGCGTGGACTGCAGCACTCAGGATGTAAAACTAGCTGTGCCAGCAGAGGGAGGGGAAGAGTCACCATTTTATTCTAATTTTTTCCTGCCTGGATAACTGACAGATGGTGGTGACATTCAAAGGGGGGGACGACACAGATTTAGGGTGAGGGGAAATGAGATGTAGATCTGAGGTGAGAAGAACATTCCCAGCTAGAGGTGGAAATTTGAGGATTATTAGCGGCTGGCTTCTACAATATCAGAATAATTTCAGAGTAAGACATCCAGACTAAGGAATCACAACACCATGATCATCTTTTTTTCTTGTATGAATTCCAAATAAGAAAACAGTTAAGCCAGAAACGTAATCGTTCCTATTCCTGGAACTGGGTAACCGAGGCATCTTTGCAAATTGTTCATTGAACTGTGTGCTATGGCTTCTTGCCAGCCCCCAATGAGATTTTTATATTTCTTAATTATTCAATTACTACCCATAAGTAAGAGTTTGAAATCAAACCTAGACTGCTATATAATGGAGTATTCTCTGGCACCGCGAGCACAGTAGAGGAAACTCCCCATACTAGGGAAATAGGATGGCAGAGCAGAGGACGCCTGAGTTTCCAGTCCTAGCTCTGCCCTGGCTTCAAGTCCTGGCTTTGTGACACACTAGCTGCGTGAAGCTGGGTAAGTCACTTCTTGGAGGTCAGTTTTCCAGTCTGTAAAATAAAAATACTGGGAATGCCTGGTTCCTGAGGGGGCTGTAAATTTCTAGTAAAGGAGAACGTGTAAGAGAAAGCGCAATATCCTTCCTTCTTTGTGTGCTGCAGGTCTCAGCAGCTTGAAAAGCCCTTACCTGGAAAGGAAGAGCTTTTGGATGGCGAGCAGACCGGCGCCCCCCACGGCGTTGTCAATCCCGAAGCCCACCTGCCCTCCATTTGCCTCAAGCAGGTGTTCCCCAAGTACGCAAAGCAGTTCAACTATCTGCGCCTGGTGGACAGGATGGCCAATTTGTTTATCCGCTTCCTGGGAATCAAGGGAACCATGAAGTTGGGGCCGACAGGCTTTCGCACCTTCATAAGGTCAGTGAGATCAGCCCCCTCTGGCTGGGCTTTGGGCCGGGTGGAGTCCTGCTCCACCCCTGGCTGGTGGCATCTCCCAGACTTGGGAAAATCCAAGGCGCTAGGTCAATACCCTATTTGTGGTTATGTTCATGATTTAAAAAAACAGTTCTGTGCTACTGTGAGAGAGGTGCTTAAAACGCATATTAAAAATCACCCCTTGGAGTCACACAGACCTGGTGCTGCTTCAGCTGCGGTTCTCCCGTCTACCTGGCTGTGTGTCGAGTGTATACGAAGCCAGAGACGCAAGGCAGATCTTTCCAAAGTGTCAATTTCAGGAGGGAAAAGTTAAATAATTCAGCTGATAAATATTTTAATATTTGTTCTAATATAAAAATAACAGGGTGGTAGAGCATAATGCAAATTTGCATGAGTTTCAAAGATAAAAGTTGAGGTAACAAAGAAATTATATTTTTGCCGCAGCCTGCAATTGCCACTCAGTTTCCCAAGATTACTCATTAATTTGCCTCTACCCTGTGGGACACTTTGGGGCAATACAGAGAACTTACTAGCTTCTGGGGCAAGTAGCTCCAGGGTGAGTTAATGAGCACCTGAAATCCCAGTGACTTCATCCTGCAATATAGGAATGAAACTGCCCCTGCCTTATGACAGCATATGTAAGATTAGTTAAGATTGCATAGAGACATCTAGCTTGTGGTAACCAATCAATAAATGTTATTTTCTTCTTACAAGGTTAAAAAAAAAAATCCCATGAAATTTTATATATATTTGTATAAAATTTACACATACACACATATGTATAGGCATGCACAGGGTCTGGAACAAAGTAGGTTTTCATTAAGTGTGTGTTAAACAAATGACTCCAGATCCCTTTACCAAATGTGAACTGGCCCCAACAGGAAACTGTTTACCAGGGATTAATTGTAGCAGATGCACCTCAAAGACCACATCCGCTAGCACTTGATATTGCTATGGTTTTTCTCATCATTGGCTTAAATATTTTTATCTTACACCTCCAAGTCATGCTTGTCACAGTTTCATTCACTTAAACAAATTATTAGAAGTCTTGAGTTGGAAACCATTTTTGTCAAAAGCTTTTCTCCAAAGAAGTGGAATGAATTCTAACTCTCGCCTTCTGCTATGCCTGATAGGCTGGTAAACAGAAGTATTGGCAGGAATTTTTGCCATCTCACCTGAAGCAGTCCTGGCATGGTGATTTTGAGAAGAGGATTGTCTTTGTTTCAAGAGTGTGTGGGGTAGTGAGTAGAAAGCCCAGTGGAAAGAGTACAGGCTTTGGGGTCAGACAGATCTGGCTTCAAGGCCAAGGACATTATTTAATACCTGTGAGGCTTTGGGCAAATCCCTTTTCTTCTCCAAGTCTTAGTCCTCTCTTCTGCAAAATAGTAATAATTGTTCCTCCCTTACAGAATTGTTATGAAGTAATCCAGTAGAACTTCTATAAATTAACCACCCAAGGAAGGTCAACACATAGAGGTGGTCAACAGGAAGAGAGAGCCCTACTGCACTGATACGTACATGTGGTGCATGTCCAGTCTATGAAAATTAGGTCAACTTAAGGAGGTGGTCAGCGTAGGCAGGTGGTCAACTATGGAGGTTCTACTGTATATCATGAAGCATCTGACCCAATGCCTAATTCATTGGAGTTGCTTATTCAATGGGAGCCTTATGATTATCATTTCCATTAGGCAGTGGGAATTTTTGAAAAAGTCAACAGACACATGTCATTATTTGCACTGAAAAGATGGCCTAACATGACACCCTCTGACTCATTTAGGAATTACTTTTGACTTTCAGAAACAGATACCCATCTACAAATGGCTTAAATAGTGAAAGCAATTTTGTCTGATATCACAGGAACTTTCCCAGTGGGGGCTCTAGGACTGGTTCATGACTCCACACTATGATCAATGCCTCACTTGCTGTCTTTTTGCTCCTCCATCCTAACTTCAGGGTTGCCTCACAGTCACAAGATGGCTGCTCAACCCCCAGCCATCATGGCTGAGTTCCAAGCAGGAAGAAGGCAGGAAAAACAAAGGCCTTCACCAGATGAATTAGATCCCTTTAAAAAGCTTTCCCCAAAGCTGTATCCAATGACTTCTGTTCTTCCACCTTCAGAAGAAATAGCTGTACATAGTATTATCCCATTATATTGGAAAACAGGAGGAAGAGCAAAATAGGTGGGTAGTCTCTGTCCCTATGGGATTCTTGGACCTGGTAACTTACGGAAATTAAGTTAGTGACAGAGGACTCGGCTTGCAAGGGCACTTGTGAGTCACTGTGGAAACATTTGGGGGCCCTGAAGAATGGTGAGGCTGAGCGAGCTAGAGTTCTTTTCTCAGCATAACATATCCAAGGGCCTAGGCCTTCTGGAGCCAAGACAGGCATTTCTGGGCCCTCCCCAGCCTCTGCACTATTGCACAGAAGACTCAATTTGAGACTAGAAAGAAGGTATGGCGTGGCTTTATGCAGGTGAGATCTTGGGCGCTGAGGGACTCCTTGCCTGTGAGATCTGTCCTATCTCAGCATTTGTCTGGCTTCACCTAACAACTCTTCCCAAGTACCTGGTAGCCACAGGACCCTCAAAGATAAATAATGGAACCCTGTCTTTCCTCAAGGAACCTTTAATATAACAGACGGCATGCAGTGAACAGATGATTAAATGCAATCCTTTGGCAGAGTCCAGGGGCAGTGGCTCCTAGCTCCCCAGCAGGGGTGAGTGCTGCAAGTATGGAGGAGGGGATGCTTCCTATTGGAATCAAGGCCGGTCCCCAAGAGGATGCAGGTTTGGACTGGGAGTTGGCCAGGCAGGGAAGGGAGAAACACACAGTCCAGGAGGGGACTGTGGGGAGAGCTTTGAGAATGGATTTCATGTGTGGCCCATGTTTAGAAGTCCAGAAAAGGTCTATCATCCAGGTTAAATTGATAGTAGACACTTAAATGCTTCCTTTTCACTCCAGAGGTGAGAGGGGGGACATTTGAAGAAAACAGCTCATGGTGTAAGAATCAGGATCTCAAGCGCCTGTGGGGCAGGCAAGAAGCATAAACCAGAGACCAGGACACACAAGGTCTAGGAGGCCAGGGCTGTGGTCAGCTGGAGAGTGTGTCCTCTGTCCCAGAGAGGAGCTGCTGCTGGGCTCAGTATCCCCAGAGCTTTCAATTTTTCAAGAAAAGCTAGATATAGTAAGTTTTATGTAAAATCTCAACACACCTGTATAAATGTTAGCAATTTAAAAAATAATTTTAGGGCGGCTCCTATGGCTCAGTGAGTAGGGCGCCAGCCCCATATACCCGGCCCCAGCCAAACTGCAACAAAAAAAATAGCCGGGCGTTGTGGTGGGTGCCTGTAGTCCCAGCTACTTGGGAGGCTGAGGCAAGAGAATCACCTAAGCCCAGGAGTTGGAGGTTGCTGTGAGCTGTGATGCCACGGCACTCTACTGAGGGCAATAAAGTGAGACTCTGTCTCAAAAAAAAATAATAATAATAATTTTAAACCCTGTGGATTCCATCCAAGTATGCCTGCCCAGAGAAGCCATTGGTGGGGGACCTCTGGTGTCAGCCCTTCAGGAGGACTGCTATGTTTATACACAGTCTTGAAAAGAAAACAGAATTGAGAAAGGTTTTAGCAAAGAAGATCCTTAAAATGCTCTCAGACTGGAACTGGGTGATGTCAAATGTATCGCTGCACATCTATCTCCACGTGATAGGTTTTGTAACGTTCCATCCTTTTGCTCTCTATAATTAAGGTCATTTGCATGAAAACCCAATTTTTGTGACATTGGAAACTATGAGGTCCTGCAGCCATCGTTCCTAATTTGTGTGACTGTGTCTTCAGGTGGAGACCAGGCAGCCAGAGCACACGGCCTCAGGCAGTGATCCCTCTCCCTGCCTCCCCTGCTACCCAAAAGAGGTCTGTAGTAATTAAGAATGCGAGAAGGAATGGAAAAAATATCGTACAGCCGTTAATGGATTTTTTTCCTTTTAAAATATACTAAGAAACCTCAATAGCAACCTAATGGTAAAGGATGATACTCGGTGCTTTTAGATTTATCTGAGGATCTTCAGTCTTGTCAGCTAAATTTAACAGCAAGCATTTTCTCTCGCTAACAACTTCTCTCTCTCTCCACTTTCCATTTTGGTTTAAATTTTGCTTCATAATGAATTAATAATATTTATACCATATGGTAAAACGAGCCAAGTGCCCTTCTGGGGAGCACTTTGAAAAAGACGAATTCACTGGTGAGATACACACTCTTCTCAACGCTCCCACGCACATGGCAGGAGTTGAACTTGGCTTTTCATCTGTTCTACCCACTCCTTCTCTCCAAGTCCCTCGAAAAGAAGTAGAGGGAAGAAAATAATAAACTCTCCGATTGAATTTATTTTCTGTGTCCATCGCTCATAACGTGCTGCATAGATCAGCAGTTTTTGGAGTGAATTATGCTAATGCCAGTCTGGCCATATTCTATTTTTCTTTTTTCGCCAAGAAATGAGAAATAATGAACTGTTGTTCTCTTGTCTAGACTTAACTCTTTATCTAACCAGCTTTACGTGTCATTTCATCGGGAGGCGTGTGATAGTAGCATGTGTTCTTGGGAATTAAGTACCTCTCTTTTATTTCTTTTTAAAAACTGTAGTTTATAATAATTGCTGATGGAGGCATCTTTGTCTCTGAGAAATAGAAATTATCTGATTGATTCTTCAGCTTGACAGCTTTCTTTGAGGGAAATGCGTTTTTGTTAATCTGCTTCCCGTGTGTTACTAATTTGGGGGCATCCCGAGTAATTCACTGAGGACACTTTTTCCAAACATACTTTCCGGCAGAATCTGACATCAATTTGCATATGCCGCATTTTCCATCACAGCAGCCCAGGAGTTAAACAGTTTGCCAAAGCCGGGTGTGTTTCAAGGGAATGTGACAGAGTCTCTGCTCCTGGACCAGTCGCTTCCTGCAGGGCTATCTCACTTTGTGTCTTCTGATCCTGGGTCTCCTTTTGAATTAGAGAATGGTTTTCACTCTTTCTCTTTTTCCCTTCCACTCCCTTTTATCATAAGGGAATAATATGCTTCACAATGGGTAGCTGTGGGGGGGGGGTTGGTCTCTGAGCAACATGATGTATTAGAATGTTCTAGAAGGGAAGCATAAGGGACCCTGCTTTCCCTTCTGTCATTAACTCCTCAGTGACTTCAAAAATCTCCCCCTCTAGGATGATCCCTGTCCAAGGATCTACGCCATGGGTATCAAGGGCCTTGAAAACTCTCTACATTTTAAACTGGAGTTGCCTTCTTTCCCCCTGGATATTCAGTGTCTCCGGGATGTTCAGTGTGTTTTTTAAAAAATAAATATTGATCAGTTTTTAGTTATCACCTTATAGAAACCTTTCCAGGAAAAAATAAGCTGCTTCTCTGCACAGAGAATGAACACAAAAGAAATTCTATAAATAGGATTTTATGGAGTGGAAAAACTTAGTTCCTAAGTTTCCCATGAGATGTCAGGAGTTATTAAGAGGAAATAGGATGATCATTTGAAATCTTTCTGTACTTGGGCTCCTAATGAACTTGAATGATTTGTGATTCTCTCCCATCGCATGTGCACAGATTCCTTTGATCCTGGGGGGAAGAAACGAATTTTCTTCAAACTAGTTCTAAATCTGAGAGGAAGAAAGGGAACTGTCATTTGCCACTTCCCCCTGTGGGCCAGGCACTGAGCTAGCCCTCTAAGGAAATCTAGATGCAGAGACCTCCCAAGACTTGTGCAAGGTCACACAGCAAAACCAAGATTCAAAGTGGTGCATTTGCCTCCAAAGTTTGCTTTGTCTGTGTACATTGCCAGCCTATCCTGTCTTAGGAATTTTTCTGGCTTCTCACGTTACCATACTTCTTAGACTTCTTTTCCACTGAAGAATTCATCCTTCCATCATCAGTCACTTGAAGAACTGCATCCCAAGGCATAAGGGGAAACTCTTCTCAATGATTAAGAGCTAAGCAGTCTTCACAGTCTTACCCCAGACTCTGAGATCACTTACACTCTCAGGGCGCAGTGTCCAGGACCCACCCAGCTCTGCTAGAAGGCTGCCTGCACAGGGTCCTGAGTGGAGAGATAGATGGAAATTTCATTCCAATGCTGTGATTGTTGGAGTCATTCCCTGTTTAAGTTGATTGAAAATGTTTGGTGACCACGGGGACAAACCTGGGAGAACTTGTATCCAAGTGGCTCGGTTTGCCTTACCCCCAGCCTGCTATCCCAAAGCTCCCAATAGGAACATTCTAGAGGCTCCAACTCTACTAGGAGAATTCCTCCTGTGTCCTTGGACTGGGCGTCTCCCTACAGTTCCCAAACCTACTACTCTATCCTCCAGGGAAGGACTGGATGTGAACCCCAACTGTGTGAACTCAGGCAAGTCACATCCCTTGTCTTGAGCCTCAGCTTACCCTTCATAGAAATGGGACAAGGAATACTTCACTCATAGGATGGTCATAAAGATCCAGAGAGCTGATGAGCAGGAATAGGCCTGGCATACAGATGGTGCCCAAGAAATGCCTACAGAATCAAAATTCTTTGAAAACATTTCCCGTCTACTGCAGCCAGCACAGATCCTTCCTCTATCCCAGCAGCAGATGTTGCAATCAACTGTAGTTGCTGGTTTCACCAGGGAGGACAAGCTACCTTGGAAAGGGGATAGATGGAGAATTCTCTCTGGTAAATTACAGCTCCTGCTAAAGGTTTGACACTTCTATTTTCTACCTGTCAGAGAAAAAATCACTATATTCTAGTGGTCAGTTTGTTTTTCCCCTTTATACTCCATTAAGCCACAGAGCGAGGCAGGCAGCACTCGTGTCTCATGGGGGAGCAGGTAGTCCAGAGACAGTGATATGATAATTAGAGAACAGGCAGCCATTCCTAACTAAGCTTTGGAAATTAGCAATGTGGGTTGTGAGAATACCTTGGGAGAGACGGAACATCGTCCCCAGCAGACCCCAGTAGAGAGAGCCACGTTGGTGACAGGTGACGTGAAAATCTTTGCGTCCACTGACATGTTGTTACTGGCACTCAATAACTGTGCACTGATGTGCTTTGAAGTCTGCCACAGTGACTTGTGAGTGAAATATGGAGCGGGAGGCCAGGAGGAAGCAGGGTGTGTAAGAAAGGCAGGGAGACAGGGCCCAGGTGCTGGTACCTGAGGACTACCAGCCTCGCTTGGCACACTCCCAGCCACCATCTTTAGGGGCATATATGGGTTTGGAGATGGGCCTCTATATGCCCAAACCCTGCTTGCCAATCAACCCCTCCCCTGTCCGGTTCTTAACGGAGCTATTCACAAGAGAGATAATGACAAATGGGAAATCAAAGAAGCATTTCATCCTCAGCTGGGGTGATGGATATGGATTCATTTGAGAAGTTGAAAGCAGCATTGAATGTAGTTCAGCCAACCTGACAGCTGGCCCAGACGTCTAATATCTAGGATGCCCAAGGCACCCGCCCCCTCCATCCTGCCTGGTGAGCGCCACCTCTCCAGAATGGGTCACTCACTGAACATTAGGCTTTAGGCAGCCTCCAGGGTGAGGTGGTTCTAGGTCTGGGAGAGGAAGAGGGATAGATGGGGAGATCAGGAAGGGATCCAACAATTGCTGTGAGCTCCTCAATTCCAGGCACCATGGCATGTGCTTCGCATGTATTCACTCCCTCAACAACCATGTAGGCAGGTCCCATCATCTTTATTTTAGACACTAGAAAATAAAGGCACAGAATGTATAGGGAAATTGCCCACCATCCCGGATCTAGAAAAAGTGGCAAAGTCAGAATTTAAATTTCTGTTCTCTCTGCTGCCCCAAATCATGCTCTTTTCAATATGCCAGATGCTGCCCTACATTTCCAGAGCAAAATAAACAGAGAGGCACGGAAGGAAAAGGAAGATTCTAATCACCCTCTCCACGCCATGGCTTGGACTGGGAGCACCAGTTCCGACATCAGACTGCAAACCTGGTTACTGTGGCCTTGCTGTACCCAACGAGCAAAATAGCTGAAGCTCAGGGCCTGCCCCTCCCTTCTCCTGTCACTTCCAGGTGACTCCCTTAAGTCAGAAATGATCATCAAGGAACCTCTCCAGCTGTGCTGTGTCAGCCACACAAAGGGGAGAGGCCCCAGCCCATGCTGTTCTCCTCTATAAATCTCAGGCTTAGTGTGGCTGATTCAGGGCTTATGTGAAATCTTCAGGTGACAGATTAAGATGGGTGAAGTACAGAGGCCTTGAGCCCATCGTAGATGCAGCCTCAGGGACTCAGCCGGTGAGCATTTCTGGTGAGGAATCACTTCTGTGCTGGTGATGTGCTGTCATCACTGGGTCATCCGAGCATGACACAGTCAGCCACCTGGACACCCACAGGAGAGGGCAGCACTGCAGGCCTCCTCCTCCCAGAGACTGATGGATAGGAAGGTGAGGCCATATACAAAGGGTGCATTTGACATATGGCGCTCTCTTTCCCTTCTGGAGCAAGCTGGGACCTACGTTGCTGTGTAAGGCCAAGCTGACACTGAGGAACTTTAACAAAGATCACTGGTTTTATAGGTGGGGCCACTGAGACTTGGAAAGGTGAAATAGTTTAACCAGGCCCATTCAGCTTCCAAGCAGAGGAGCCAGATTGCAGTGAGACTTGCTCTCCTAAAGTCCTTGCTCTGCCCAGTCCATTAGACTCCTAATTAACCAAATGGCTGAACTTGCAGGAATCCACAGGATTGAACCTCATGCACACTTCCAGCCTTCTCTCCCACCCCTCCCTGCCATACACCCTTCCTTAGTTCCCACTGTGGGAAGGGAGGACAACCCAGGCAGGGAACACAGCCTGAGCAAAGACATCACCTTAGCTCAGGATGCTAGAACAAAGGTACCACAGACTGGGCAGCTTAAACAACAAACGTTTACTTCTCACAGTCCTGAAGGCTGGAAAGTCTGGGGTCTTGTGAGGGCCCACTTCCTGGTTTGCAGATGCCACCTTCTTGTGTCTTCATTGAGTGGAGAGCAGAGAGAGAAAGAAAGATCTGGAATGTATCCTCTGTTAAGGGCACTAATCCCACTCACTAGGGCTCCATCAGCATGACCTACTCATCTCTCAAGGCCCCACTTCCTAATACCATCACATTGGTGGGGGGATTGCAACATATGAATTCTAGGGGGACACAAACGTCCAGTCCACAGCAGAGTGGGATAAAGACAGACAGGACAGGGTTTGGTCTCGTGGTGACATGTCTCCCTCCCGTCTTTGGCAGGAACTGCAGACTCAGCAGCAGCAGCTTGTCTATGGCTGCCATAGACATCCTCTACATCGACATCACAAGGAGGTGGAACTCAGTAACCCTGGACCAGCGGGACTCAGGTACCAGACGGCTCCCTCCACCAAGTTCCGTGGGGGTCCCCAAGGCAGGCGTGTTACATTTTCTATTCCTTCCTGTCAAGGGGCCCGGTGGGGACGGGAGAAAAGTGATCCCATCAGATCTAGACATCATTACAGGGATTGAGCTGGATTGACTACCATGGCACAGTCTGCTACCAAATTCTAATTGTACTACTGGCATCCCTTATCTTGACTTATGGCTTTGATCCTGTCTATACTGGGGACACTCATTCATTTATTCATTCATGCCTCAGCCCATATCTCCAGGCCTTGGGCAGACTGGAGTGAGAGTGCTTGGTCTCTACCCTGAAGAACTCACTGTAGAGTTGGGAGGCAGACTAGAAACCTGCCCTGGGTGATGTGTAACTACCAGAGAACCCCAGAGAGGAGCTTCTCATCAAGGGTGTGCCCAGTGAGCAGGTGAACGGGGAGGGGCAGACACTTGGCGGAGTGTTGCTCAACCGTGGCACGGCTATTGTGAGAAGGTTATTGAGCTCAGACCACCCCAAGTAGCTCAGAAGGGCCAGAGCAAAACAGGAAGTGAGAAGGTGCAGAGGCGGGGTTCCGGGAGCTGGCAAAGCCTTAAATGCTGCCCAAGAGAATTTAATCTTGAGCCTCTGGATCAGTGATTTTCAACTGGTGTGCTAGGGCACACGAGTGTGCCATAAGAGGGTCTTAGGTGTGCTGTGAACATTTTTAAAGATCACTAATTAATTACTTTTGAAAGAAGTGCAAAGCACAGTACGTATATTCTTTTTCTACCCTTTTTTCTTGGTCAACATAATTTAAGTGTGCCACGGAAATTTAACTATAGGTTCAAGTGTGCCCTGAGATAAAAAAAGATTGAAAAACGTCAAGGTCCTCTCACTGCACACTGGTTGAAAATCACTGTTCTAGGTTATGTGGCGAAGGATTTTGTTAGAAGAATCCACCTTTAGGGGAAGGAGTTTCTGATCTTTTCCTTCACAGAGTGTGTTTTTCTGAAAAATTGTAATAACTGTAACCGACACTTGTACAGCTCATCACAAAACTGCCGGGTCCGTCCATGCACACTCTCCCATTAGCTGTCCCTGTGAACCAGTGCAGCGGGCACTGAGTCTCATTTCACACGCGAGTAAACTGCAGTGCAGGTGACCAGGCTCTCACAGTAACTGTGAGCCTGCAGCACCCCGGCGCCCCACCTCGCCCTCCACGTGGAGGACTCCCTGCAGATTGGGTACACAGAGGAGGGGTCCCTGGAAGAGGAGCTTGCTCCTGAGATCAATCTGTGGAGCAGAAGTGCAGTCAGAGGTGGGGTGATCGAAATCAGAAATGCTGATCCATTTCCTGTGGATGTCAGCCTGAAGAATCATTTCACCTCCCATCTCCAGTCCCAATTTGTAAAATGGCACCAATAGTACCTGCTCTCCAGGGTTGCCCTGAGGTCTTTGGAGTCCTCGCTGACAGTGCAAAGTAGTTCCTCGTATTAGTGAGCACCACTGGGCAGACCCTGGGAGCATTCTGTCTGACGGCCGGCACTGGCCTGGCAGATCCCACCCCACACCCCAGGGGAAGGTAACTTCCTGACCACAGAGACGACCGGGAGGCCCATCCTGCAGGGCACTGCCTCTGAGGCACTACTGGCTGTTTAGTTTCATGTTTGGTACTGGTATTACCAGCTGCTGGTTGTTGGCTGTTTCCTACACACCAAGCACCCTGCCAGGCACTCCCCACGTGCAGCACCGGCTGGAATTCTCCTGGCGGTAGGTAGGCTTATCTCCATTGTACAGAGGAGGAAACTGAGGCTCAGAGTCATGGCTGGTAGATAAGGGTCCAACACCAACCCAGCTCGGGTCCCTCCCCCCACTTTCCGGGCTGCTTTCTCCCCCTAATCAATCCTGGAGTAAGATGACCACCAACCGCCCTGATGTCCTGCTTTCCTTAATTCAAAAGCAAAACTCTGGGAATACCAGCAGTCACTGAGTCAACAGGGTGAGCACTTCTATGGCGCCAACTGCAGCTCTGTTACAGCCTTCCCTGACAACCAGGAGAGGCATGAGAGAGCGTCTTCGGGAGAAGTAAGCAGATTAATTATCATTTCGAGGGCTGAGAGCACTCACGTGACAATCGAGCAGTGGCACTTTCTGCTGATGCCTTCAGAAAGTGAAGAAGTGTCTGCTCTGTGAGTTGAATGCGGGGAGTCATCACAGGATCCTGTGAAGGGGGCCAAATGAGGGGGTGGGATGGTGGTGGAATTATTAAATATTGAAATTGACCAGGAGTAGCAGCAGGAAGCTATTTATCATGTTTTATTGCTTCAAACTAGCATTACCATCTGGCCCATTGTTAATTCTGAGTAGCTTGTCATGTTTTGTTTGCCTCTTAAATTTCTCCCCGTAAGCGGGATCCACAGGGGCTGTCCACAATTCAGGCTCTGTTGAGGCTTTTCGAGGGTCTGCCAGGGTCTCTCCATTCTGCTGACCAAGCAACGGAAATGAGAAAAATGCTTATTTTTAGCACATACCGCTGAGCAAATCTGGGGCTTGGGATCTACCAGGCCTTTCACCAGCCCTCAGCCCCTGAATAGATGGAGTAGTGACTGTGGGGAGTATTTTAGGTTACCTCAAATGTGTGCGTATTGCTGCTAATTCTCACACCAGTCCTTAGGAGTGGGCAATAATGTCCCATTTTGCAGATGTAAACCATGGGGTTCCAAGACCCAAGGTAACTTATCTAAAATCCCATAGCCAGTGAGTAGCAAAGGCAAGATATTTTATTCAAGCTCTGCCTTCTCCCAGGATCCCCAGTGCAGGGCCATACCC